GCAAAGATAGTGAGGCTATTGCTTCAGTGAGATGATTCAGCAATCCTTTTACCTAAAATACAATAAAAAAAATAATTTTAAATGAAGCTTATAAAATCTGTACCAATAACTTGATGTATACCTTAAAAATGAAAAGATATTTTCTTTCATAAAATTAAGAAATTAAGACTTGGATCTTCAATATACAACTTTGTAACTGGACAAACTGATACAAAATAACAAAAAGACCAAACACTAAAATCCTCAAGTGCAAAATTATCTAACAAATTAGGAAAAAAATATTTAAATTGTAACAAAATTACATTAAAAGCTAAATCCCTCTGCATATACATAGTTCAGTAATATCTGAATGAAAAACAACAGATAAAAGGTAATGGAGTTTAATAAATATTGACCCCTATCCATCAGTCTGAAATTACATTAAATCAATTCTTTTTAAAACAGTGTATCACTTTATTGGGGCGGGGCTGGAAGGGGAGACACCATGGTGGGGAACTAAATCAAGTAAAGGAATATAAGTGCAGGAAGCAATAATGTTAATAATACACAAAATGGATAACTGCAATCATTTTCTTAAGAGGACTCAACTCGTGGAAGAAAACCTTTAATTGCTGTTGCAAAAAAAATCTGTATGAAGTAGAATTTGGTTTCAGCAACATCAGTAGAGAATATGTTCTAGAATTTGGAGGTAACTGGATGTAATATCCTGGCAGCAATTTAATAGAACAGTCTCAAATGATTACACTTAGGCCAACACCTAAGGGGGATGAAAGCCATGTGTTCGGGGAATTTTGGATGATAGTTGGAGAAATATTACATTGTGCATAAATCAAATTGAATTTTTATCACAAGTGTTATAAAGTTTCATACAGTAAAAGTTTTTTTCTACATGTACTCCAATTTCACAGCAAGAGTGACATAGGATACTTAAACACAGGAGAGAGCATTCAGGCAAGATAACGAACTCCTTGATATAAGAAAGTATTCAATTCAAAGTGATTACACTATCATTGCGTCTAGGGCTTTCTGCAACAAGGTGGTGGCTATGGAAAGCATGGCCTCTAGTATCAATATCTAAAAAGCAGCAACACCTTCTTCTATGTGTGTTCTCTTTTTGCATTTTTTCTTAACCCTGCTGCTGTTACTAGTTCTTAGCAAAACTGGTAAAAACAAGGTTGTAATCATTGAACAGAGCATTCTAACAATCAAGACATTTAAAACCTTCAATCTTCTGGGGAGAAGAAAGCATTGCGTGCCATTTAGAACTCTGGTTCACAAACAAGATGGTCACAAATTTTCCTGGCCTGAAGACTTCCTGATCAGATCATCATAGTAGGCCCGACTTAAGTTTGTTTCAAAGCTAACGTAAGAAAATTCTGGTTCTGGAGTGATGTGAGTAGTCCAATAAGTTCCATCCGATTCCATGCCATTCACTGAATGCCCACAAGGATTGAACATTGTGGCAGCAATGACAGAACCTGGTATCAGGTCATGAATTGCACTCGAACGAGTGACATCCTGTGCAGTAACACCATCTTTCATGTAGAACTGGTCCATAACTGCTGGGTCAAGCTCACTCATCAGAATTTTCAAGGTTTGATCTGGCTGACTAATAACCCTACTCTCTGGGAAATCCAAAGTAAACCAGTCAGAAATCATACATCCCATACAATGTGCTGCTCCATTTGGGAAAACTGCAATAAGCTGTATTTTCCCCCCAGAAATTCCAGTGTCAGCACCCGTGGTGAGAAGGCTTTATGAAATTCTTACCAGAACAAAAGAAACTTTAAATTGCGTCCAACCCACTGTGATCCCTAGTAAGTTTCAACAGGGGAACTAGTGCTTTCAGCAAGAGGATGATACCATATATCTTCAAAATGAAATGTCTCTTGGAGACAAACATGTTACTCTCACATAAGCTCACTTATAATTGAACATTGCACATCCTTCAAAAGTATGTGCTACTAGATCTTGGGATGGTGCGAAGATTCCCAGATCCTTGATTTGTGTCAGGTTGCTGCCTCCAGTAGCCTCACAGTCCCTTTAAAAAAAATGTGCAGCTCCTTCACTGTGAGACTAGCGAACAATCAATAACCACAGAAAATCAACTAAATGAAGTCTCTTCTCCCACTGCTGCTGAGGATGGTTCCAGCTGTTATTACTAAAGTTCAGGTTCCCTTTTTTTTGGTTATAATTTTATATAACTTTTTCTTTAAAAGGATGAATAAAATTTTCCCAGCTTTTGTGAGTATGTGTGTGCGTAAGTGGAACGTGAGTCTGTTAGACATAGAGGCAGATACACTTAATCTCTCGTAGTCTGCTTTTCCGTTAGAGAGAGCAGAGCCGCTGCGAGCTAACGTTGCCTGCCGCACTGAGAAAGCTGAATCAAATTTTAAAAGGCCCCAATTTGTAAAAGTACATTTTGCAAACAAACAAGATATATTTTTAGAGAATATAACTATTCTGCATTCTGGTCTCATATCAATCAACAAAACAAGATTAGAGTGAAAACAGTATTTGATTATAACATCAGCCCCTAACCCAGTGGTTCTCAACCTTCTGGCCCTTTAAATACAGTTCCTCATGTTGTGACCCAACCATAAAATTATTTTCGTTGCTACTTCATAACTGTCATGTTGCTACTGTTATGAATCGTAATGTAAATATTTGATATGCAGGGTGGTCTTAGGCGACCCCTGTGAAAGGGTCGTTCGACCGCCAAAGGGGTCGCGACCCACAGGTTGAGAACCGCTGCCTTAAACAGATGCCCGTGAACATCAGTTTAAGAACTACACATAACAGTGATATAATCTCTGTTTACCTGTACTTGTTCCTTGATGATATTAAAACTACCTATCAAGATGAAACGACATATCAAATATTTCATTTGATTACTGCTAATATAAGAACTTACTTGATCAAATATGCTTAAGAGTTGAATGCAATGCTAGATAGAATTGCAAAGCATAACTCAGAAACTTCTACTCCCAAATATCTAATTCCAGTAAATGGGGTGATAAATCTTGAGATTATTTTGACGATTAAATGACAATGCAGACACCATAGCAATTAGCATATGGTAAACATAGTAAATGTTAGCTGTTTATATATAGTTGTTATAATTACAACAGAGATTCTGACCTAAACTTAACTGGCACAGAATACATACCATTTTTTCATCTGATGGCACACATAAACTAATAACTAAAATTTTGCAGCGCACCAAAAAATGTTATAATTTTTGCTGATCTGACCAAAAATAGGTGTAATTTTGATTCGCTCACACTGGACATCTATTGTTGTGTTGGCGCTGGTCACTTTTTGTTTTTAATTTGACAATCTAAGGGAAAAGAGATCAGTGCCCCTGACTAAAGAGTCAGGTGTTGCATGTTTTAAAAATTCTTGTGGCACACTGGTTGAAAATCGCTGCGTTCATCACTTGCTTTACGCAAGCCCGTGCTTACACAGTAAATTCAGTATTTTGGTTTCTGAAGCACTGCATTCCGCATCACAACACTGATGCTACATAAAGACAGAGATCATGTCTGTCTTTTGTTAGGCACTCCAAAAAAAATTTTTTTTTTTTTTAATGAATGCTTTCAGCCACGGCAAATGTTAGTAAAGAAACTGGAAGCGATGAAGCACACAGGCAAGACAGGAGTGGCAGAATAAGTCAGCACTGCAGAGGCTGGAGCCTGAAAAAGCTGGTTTCTCGCGCAGGTTCAAACGTTCAGCAGCAGCAGTCGCTTATGAGGGCCAGTTGTGCGACCTCTCTCAGCCTCAGCTCCTTCTGTAAAGTGAGGATAATCATCCACCCCTCGGGATCGTTGAGGGGTCTATGAGAAAACATGCAAAGCACGTGGCGCACAGCTCACGTCGGCTGTCCTGACTATTTTATCTCCCCTGGCACAAAAACTTTATTTCTCATTGTAGAATTTTCGACAGGAAAACAAAAGCCCATCGCCGCGTCGGGTAACCATGGTGCTAAAGTCGGCCATGCTTCTGACTCCCATGAAGCCTCCCGGCACGCTCGGCAAGTGTTGCCCACGGGGCTCCAAAGGTCGCACCTCCCAGGAAGGCGTGGGGGACCTGGTAACAGAGACCGAGGGGTCACCGCCCTCGTCCCCGCTTCCTGGAAGCGCGCAAGGATGCAACCGATGAGGTGCGGTCATCAGCCCGCAGGCTGGAAAGCTGCAACGCACGGGAACGGGGGGGGGGGGGGGGGCGGCGATGGGCAGGGGGGCAGAGGCGGAAAAACGAAAATAAAAATAGCCACTTCTCCCCACCTAAGTCTCCAAACTCGAGAACTGCCTACTTTGGGGGAGCAACACCGCAGCCCGGAGCAGCAGCTAAGCTCGGCTGTTCCCTGCGGAGCTGACAGCTCTGGTACCCCGGACCCAAGAAATGAAAAAGGGAAGCCATGGAGGAGGAGGGGAAATGGAAACGCGAAACGACCCGCAGGGCGGTGCGGCCGCTGCTCCGCGCTGCCTTTCGCTCTGGCGCCGGCCCTCCGAGGCGCGCGCGGCTCCGGCTCCGCAGAGCTCGGCGGGAGACAAAGCAACTGCCCGGCGGCGGCCGGCTGCTCACCCTGGGCGACCAGGTTCTGCATCTCAGCTTTTCTTCGGCCTCGGGACCCTCACCTGCCACGGCTGCGGTTGTCACGCGAGCGGCTGGAGGTGGCCCACACCATACAGATCTCGGTTTCCCTTTGAATCCCGAGGGCAGGGGTGAGGTGTTGGTCAAGAGGCTCCAGCTGTCAGCGTGGACGCGGGTCCTCTTTCTTCAGTAACAGAAGAGCCACATGGAGGTAGTGCAAGGAACTACTACAGCCGAGAGCCTCCGCCACGCCTCCTCGCCAGCCCGCTTCGGGTCTCACTCGGACTCCTGGCCGGGCGGAACAATTTCCCGCAAGAGCCAAAGGTTCCGCCCTAACCTGCTTTGACCGGAGCTCCACCCCCGTAAGCCCCGCCCCTCTTAACGACTTGGTTAGTTCCGCTTCCGGCAGCACCAGATAAGTCGCGAGAGGAAGCTTAAATCCTGTCGCTTGCATTTAGGACCACTTCGGTGAGTGGTCGTTCAGGTGTGCTTTGTCATACCTAATGAATTTTAAAGTGAGGCGTAACCTGGCAGTCATTTCAAAGCCGTTCCCGTCGACTAGCCGAGGAAGGGTTTAATTGGATGTTGCGCAGGCGCCCTTGGGGCGGCAGGGCCTTGCGGGGTCCCCGGTCTGCAGAACAGAAACTGGGCGATTTCCGTTTTCGGGCCTGGGGAGATGCCTAGTCGGTGGAACTGGGTTTTACTTAATGGTCGTTTTTCTGTTTGTGCTAAATTTAGCCGAACTTTGCCTTTAAGATTTAGTCGCTTAAACGCTCTGGAAATGCCCCTTTAAAGTAGCGTCCGAGTCTCCGAGTGAATTCAAAAGTTGAGTGCTGCACTTGGTTGACGTTGGAGAATTCTCCCCCCTTACTTTAGCATAGTTGTCATTTAATATGGAATATTACCCTTTTGCCCCAAATGAAAACCTCCTGTGCGGGGAGAAGCGCTTGCTTACGGGAGAATCTTGTCTAGTTGTCTTAAAGGAAAAGTACCCATTTTATCTCTATGGGTTTTCCTTAAATGGGCGTTTCTAACCTAAAGTGGAGAAGTAATTTTCAAAAGGAAATTCATTTATCACATGTGCCTTCATTTCGATGCATTTGGAGATGAAGACATTTTTGTTAAACGGATGTGCACGTTGAAATGAAGCGCAGATTACCGCGAATTGTCTGGGATATTTAGATTTCCCAGTCTTGGACGCTGCATAAAATTGTGCTCTTAACGTTGTTCAGTGATTAAAATAGAAAGAATTAAGAAGTAAAATTCTGATCACAAGTTAACATGCGTATTGGAATATTAGTGATTTTGAGTTTTTAACTTGGAACAAATGCATGTAACTTTTAGAGGCTTAACTTGGTGGCCTTGATGGGTTTTGCCCTTGGTGAAACAGTGAAATCCTGATTTTATTTAAAGTGATGCTTCATTGCCTTTACTGCACACACAAGATAAAATTATTGAAGGAATTAAGTAATGAATATTAACACAGATATTCACTGATTTTATTTGATGTTGTGCAAGGGATAGAGTGTAAACAGTTCAGCCAAAGATGACTGACATTTCCTCTTGCAAAGCCAGAAGTGGTAATGAGCCACCTTCGTTCAGGACCTTTTCTTTTTCTGACTGTCCTAAATTGTCGATTAGGTAAGGATTTCACAAACATCACTTATGTTAGCGGTGACGGTGGAGCTGGAGAGCATTGCGCCTTCTCCAAGCCGCACAGCGAACCACCGATAGCGGGGTGGGACCTGGGGCCCCTCCCAGGGCCGCGGCTCTTGGCGCGGATGTCAGCCCTCGCATCTCCCTGTGCTTGTGGGCCGGTTTGGTGATGCACCGGGTGTCAGGATTAATTCCGATAGCCTTATGGAATGGATCAATGAGGATAACCTCAGAGAATTTGGAACATATGCCCTCTTTTAATTCAATTTCAGACATGGAGGGAGAGGAGAGAGAGATAGAAACATCCATGATGAGAATCATTGATCGGCTGCCTCCTGCACGCCTCCTACTGAGGATCCAGCCCCCAACATAGGCATGTAGAATGCAACCTTGACCTTCTGGTTCAGAGGTCAATGCTCAACCACCAAAGCACAGGGGGAGTGGGGAGGGGTTTCTAGGGGCCAAATGGTGAATATACTTTGAAAATAAAAAAAATCTGGTTCTTTAAGTTATTTTTTTATGTAAATACCAGGTATTAGCAGCAAACTTTTAACCATCTATTTAAAACACTACTTTTGTGAACTGCTTTTCTTCCTTTTCCATTTTCTATGTGTCCTTGTCATCTGTGTCTACTTCCAGAACTACAAGCTTATGACCCCTTTAGACTGTAATCTCATTATAAAGTATGCAGCTGTTGAGTTTTCTAGGTTTCATTGTCAGTAAAACATATACTCTGCCAGAAAACATTAATCAACCATTAAAGAAAGGAGTGAGGTTTTAAAATCTTATTCCTTGTAAAGATTTTGAGAAGTGTTCTCTGTTACTTTGAACAGCTTGATATGGATAATAATACTTAAGTATTTAAACAGTAATTATATATTGGTTTACCATTTGTAAAGGACTTCCAAATTCACTATCTCATTGATCCATGTAATTGTGAAGAAGGTGGAATAAGTATTATGTCCTTTTTCTAAATGTGGATACTGAGGCTTAAGTAACTCACTCACTAGAAATGCTGACTCCTAAAAGCCTTATCTTCTTAGACAGACCGTACTACTAGTGCCACATGTACGCAAGCAAAGTAATGTTTTCCCAAAGTGAACTTTGGAACATGTGCCCTCTTTTAATTCAATGCTAACTCTTCTGTTAGGAAATGCAAGTACTTCTTTACTTATTGACAAATAGTTGAATGATCATTGTGTCCCAAACACTGTGTGAAACAATGTAAGCACTAAGAGTTAATAAGATCTGTTCTTTATTTATAATTTAAATTATTTATTACAAGATCACTTTATAACATTTACTATCAATTCTCCTCATTGGTAATACTTAGTATTGTTAAGTTTGTTTTGTTTAGTTGTTGTTTTGCCATTTTGATGGATATGTACTGGTATCTTTTAGTGGTTTAATTTGCATTTTTCATTGTGTAATGGTGCTAAGTATCTTTTCATGTGTTTATTTACCACCCATATCTTCTTTGATGAGTGTTCAAATCCTTTGCCCATTTTTAAAATTGAATTTTCTTCTCATTATTGAGCTTAGGGGAACGCTTTATAAATTATGGACATAAGTTACTAGTATTTATTATATACTAGTATATGTACTTCAAATATTTCTTAATTGTAATTTCTCTTTTTCTTTTCTTAACAGTATCTTTAAAAGAACAAAATTTTAATTTTTTTCTTTTGTGAATGTTCTTTTTGTTTGTACCTAAACTCACAAAGATTTTCCTTTTTGTTATCTTCTAGAACAGGAGTGGGGAAACTTTTTTGTGCCAAGGGACCATTTGGATATTTATAACATCATCCCTGGGCCATACAAAATTATCAATTAAAAATTAGCTTGCTATATCTGATCAAACATTTAATTAACTCACCCCTAATGCCTTTGCAGGGCCAGACCAAATTATTATGTGGGCCTACAATAGCCCGAGACCCGGACGTTCCCCACCCCTATTCTAGAAGTTCTATAGTTTCAGGTTTTACCTTTTGGTCTATGACCCACAGTGGGTTAATTTTTATAGTTGGTGTAAGATAAGAGTTGAGGTTCATCTTTTTTTCCATATTGATATTTAGTTGTTCCAGCAACATTTCTTGTGAATATTATTAATTCTCTGTTAAATTACTTTGGTGCTTTTTTCAAACATCAATTTATCATTTCTGTGTGGCTTTTTTCCTAGACACTATTCTCTTCAATAGGCCAACGGCTCTCATTTTGCCAGTACCCCACGGTCCTGATTACTACAGATATACCCCATAGATATTGCAGGTTCAGTTCCAGACCACCGTAATAAAGTGAATATCACAATAGCGAATCACACACAGTTTTTGTTTTCCCAGTACATATAAAAGTTATGTTTACACTATACTGTAGTCTGTTATAAAATACACAATAACATTCTATAAAAAATATACTTACCTTAATTAAAAAATACTTTATTGCTAAAAAGTGCTAATCATCATCTGAGCCTTCAGTGAGTCATAATCTTTTTGCTGGCTGAGGGTCTTGCCTAGATGTTGATGGCTGCTGACCAATTAGGGTGGTGGTTGCTGAATGTTGGGGGTGGCTGTGGCGGTTTCTTAAAAAAGACAAAAATGAAGTTTTCTGCATTGAAAACTCGTCCTTTCATGAACAATTTCTCTGTATCATACAATGCTGTTTGACAGCATTTTGCCCACATTAGAAGTCTCACAAATCCTGCACTGCTTTATGCACTAGTTTATATGATATTCGAAATTCTTTGTTGTCATTGCAACAATCTTCATAGCATCTTCACTAGGAATAGGTTCCATCTTAAGAAACCACTTTGCTTATCCATAAGAAGCAGCTCCTCATCTGTTAAAGATTCATTGTGAGATTGTAGTAATTCAGTCACATTGTTATGCGCTACAGCTAATTCTTGCTCTTTTGCTGTTTCCATCATATATGCAGTACTTCCTCCATTGAAGTCTTTTTTTTTTTTTAAATATATTTTATTGATTTTTTTACAGAGAGGAAGGGAGCGAGATAGAGAGTTAGAAACATCGATGAGAGAGAAACATCGATCAGCTGCCTCCTGCACATCTCCCACTGGGGATGTGCCCGCAACCCAGGTACATGCCCTTGACCGGAATCGAACCTGGGACCTTTCAGTCCGCAGGCCGACGCTCTATCCACTGAGCCAAACCGGTTTCGGCGAAGTCTTGAATCCCTCAATGTTGTCACTGAGGGTTGGAATCAACTTCTTCCAAACTCCTGTTCATGTTGATATTTTTACCTTTCTATGAATCACAAATGTTCTTAATGGTATTTAGAATGGTGAATCCTTTCCAAAAGGTTTTCAATTTACTTTGCCCAGATCCAGAGGAATCACTTTGGCAGCTCTAGCCTTATGTAATATATTTCTTAAATACAGTCATGCACCGCAAAATGACTTTTTGATCAGTGATGGACCACATATACGATAGTGGTCCCATAAGATCATAATGGAGTTGAAAAATTCCTGTTGCCAAATGACATAGCCATCCTAACATCCTAATGCAATGCTTTACTTATGAGTTACTGGTCTATGTATTTTCTGTACTATACTTTTTGTTGTTTTAGGGTGTACTCTTTATACTTACATTAGAAAGTTTGCTGTTAAACAGTATGCAGTATTACACCAGCAGCAGCCTCATATATCTTGTGTTTACTGCATTTCTTTTTAAAAAATCTTTATTGTTGAAAGTATTGTATACTCCCCCCCCCCCCCCATAAACCTTTTCCAGCCTGCTCCCGTCCTCCCTCACCACCCCATTGTCTGTGTCTGTGAGTTATGCATATATTCATACAAGGTCATTGGTTGATCTCTTCCCACCCACCCTCCCCTGTCTTCCCTCTGAGGTTCAACAGCCTGTTCATGTTCCTATGACTCTGGGTCTATTTTTAATCATCAGTTTATTTGGTTCATTAGATTCCATATATGAGTGAGATCATGTGATACTTTATCTTTTTCTGACTGGCTTATTTCGCTCAGCATAATACTCTCCAGGTTCATCCATGCTGTTGTAAGTGTTAAGAGCTCTTTCTTTTTTATTGCTGTGTAGTATTCCATTGTGTAAATGTAACAAAGTTTTTTTATTCACTCATCTGCTGATGGGCACTTAGGCTGTTTCCAGGTCTTAGCTATTGTAAACCCTAATGCTGTGAATACTGTGTTTCTTGATTGCATCATTTTTTTTCTTGTGCTTGATTTAATCTGTTACTGACTTATTTTACATTAGCCATAATGTTCATGTTTTAGTGTGTGCCAAAATTTCCTTCCTGTTTAAGGTTAATAATTATTCCATTGTATGCATACAGTATATCCCATTTTGTTTATCCATTCATCCAGTGATGGACACTTGGGTTGCTGCCACCTTTTGGCTATTGTGAATAATGCTGCTATGAACTTGGATGTCAAAGCAGTCTCTTAACCTTAATAGAATGTAAACTCCATAAGTGTCAAAAGGATACATGTCTTGTTTATTATTGTATCTCCAGTGTGTGTCCAGCACATAGCAGGAGCTCAATAATATTTTTTTAGATCAGTGAGTAAACCTCATATTTGTCTCTAGCAACTGTCCTGTAATTCTTTGCCTTCATAACTAAACTTAAGCTTATTATATACACTTTTTCAATGCCTATTCATTTTATACCTCCTTGGTCAGGTTTCCACTTGCCCTATGCTACTCTATTACCAAAACCACTAGACAAATTTTAGTTCTGATATTATGTAACCTCTCCTCTACTTTGTGTTCAAGAGCTCTTTATTCCCTAGACTTCTATGACAGAACCTCTTCTGGATTTTTTCCTGTTTCTCTGGCTAATCTCATGTTGCTGAGGGATTTCCAATATATTTGGGAGAGCGACATATAAACTAGTAAGTTGAATAAAGTGTTGCAGATTTTATGAAAGTGGTGCATGTACTGTAGGTGCACCAAGGAAGGTGTGTACAATTCTACCTGAGAGGAAATGGATGTGGTCAGGAAGGATTCATAGATGAGTGTATTCATTAATGTGAATGTTAAAGGATAAGGATATGTCTACTGTTCTTCTTACTAGGTGTACTTTCCATGAAATCCTTCTTCCACTGCCTTAACGTTATCTACATGCTTAGGTCATCCATGAGCTCAATACAACATGTTCAATACTGTCATTGTTCTCCCTAAGCCAGAACTTCAGAAGTGATCCCAGACTCTTAATTTTATTCACTCACACATCCAGTGAGTCACGATTCTTATAAAATGTATCTGCCCATTTCCACTGATATTTCTTTGACTCAGAATTTTATCATTTCTTGCCTCAATTATGCAGTTGTCCCCTAACTGTACTGACCTTTCTGTTTTTCCACCCCAATCTGTCTTTCTTATTGGTGCAGAATGGACTTTGTGGGGTAGAAAACTATAAATGCAGCCTGTAAATGTCAGCCTCCTAGGGCACAGCAGCAGGGAGAGAAAAGCCGAAAATGATTCTGGATGGGGTGGGGGTGGGGCCAAACAGAAAACGAGTGCAGGATCATTCCTTTCAACTGAAAATATGAAAGAAAAAATTTTCTTCTTAAAGAAAACTAAAGTAGAGAAGTTTTCCTTTATTTTGGTCTATACAACCAGATTTTTCTTTATAATATAGAGAAGGTATGCATAAAATAAAAAATAATTTCTGATCAAAAAAGCAGCTTATGTATAGTTCAGAAGAGTGCATGAGCTCTAGAATAACTAAATATCTCCTTTCTTCTTTATTATATGAACATTTCCAAAATATACCTTTCTCATAAATGATTTGAATAGGGTTTTTTTTGTTTTGCATTTTTCAATGACCATAAATATATATAGAAGTAATATAAAACTGAATTTCTCTCTTTATAACCTATCGTTTATTTAAATGTCTCATAACAGAATCATTCTATATAAGTAACACTTTAGTTAATGGTACTGAGAGACTTTAAACAAAACTTTTTGAAGTGTACTTGTTCATTTCCTTTTTTCCTCAGTATGTGGAAAATTGTCAACATTTCTTACCACGTGGAAAGAGATAAGATAATTTGTCATGATATATCTCAAAAATAACATTTGAATATTTTAGTTCATATACATCATACTGTTCCTTTTCTGTACTACAAATTATCTCTCTCAGGTAATATTTTGTGAATATTCAATTCATATGTAAAGCAGAAGTGTGACAGTCTGAACTGAAAAAGCAACTGAATTAGCTTATCATTTAAATTGTATCTTAAAATATATATATATATATTCATACTGATTTCAGAGAGAGGAAGGGAAAGGAAAAGAAGGATAGAAACATCAATGATGAGAGAGAATCCTTGATCTGCTGAAAGAAAGTCAAGAAAATTCTATGATCCTATATAATAAAAGCCTAATATGCTGAGTGTCTGGTTGTCCTGCACACCCCCTACTGGGGATCGAGCTGCAACCCAGGCATATGCCCTGACTGGGAATCCAACCGTGACTTCCTGGTTCATAGGTCTATGCTCAACCACAGAGCCACATCAGCCGGCTAAATTATATCTTTAAATATCTTTTACCTAGGTTCACAATGGTACGTAGTGGAAAAAACGGTGAACTTCATCTTAAACAAATTGCATATTATAAACGAACTGGTGAATATCATCCAACTACACTACCGAGTGAGAGAAGTGGAATAAGAAGAGCAGCAAAAAAATTTGTCTTCAAAGGTAAAATTAAGGCCCCAAATCTTGAATATAGAGTTAATATAGATGCTTCTCCATATGTGTTCTTTATGGAATCCTGAAAGTTTCTGTAGTAATTGGTTGTTGCTAAACAATTACTAGTTGAATTGATGATGCCACTCAATCAAAAGCAAAATAAAAATCACACAGAAGTTAACTGAAGGCCATGAAAAGGGCATTTAAATTTATAGACAGAAAAGATACCTTGGGATAAAAAACAATAACCTATACCTAAATTAACCTTGCCCGCTTTTTCCCTCAGGTGGTTTCTGCACTAATGGTATATTTTGAAGACTCATGTTACTATCCATGAAAAACTTATTTGATGCTTAATATGAAAATGTTGACAAAGTTAACTTGTTTGTTTACTATACTTATTTCTGTGGTTCCCTCCTTTCACTGCCATTAAATAATTTCTGAATGGGTTAAATATTAGTCAGTAGAATATATGTATTGAAAGTTTATGATAATTTTTGCCTCTTTTTCTTCCAAAGGGTAAGGGAAGTTAGGAATGAGATAACTAAGAGGTATAGTCACAGATAACTGAATGTTGGTGATATTAATGAGAGTTTTGGCTAGAGGCACAGAATCAGGCTTTCCTCAAAGAAAGTCAAGAAAATTCTATGATCCTATATCAGTGATGGTGAACCTATGACACGCGTGCCAGAGATGACACGCGAACTCATTTTTTTGGTTGATTTTTCTTTGTTAAATGGCATTTAAATATATAAAATAAATATCAAAAATATAAGTCTTTGTTTTACTATGGTTGCAAAGATCAAAAAATTTCTATATGTGACACGGCACCAGAGTTAAGTTAGGGTTTTTCAAAATGCTGACACGCCAAGCTCAAAAGGTTCACCATCACTGTCCTATATAATCTACACTAATAAAAGAGAAAGATGCAAATTGACCATATATTCGCAACACCCACCAGCCAGTCAGGAGTGAGTGTGCAAATTAACCCAACAAAGATGGCGAGTTAATTTGCATATGCAGGTGGCTGGGGGCGGAGCAGGACACTTGCGTCATCACTATGGCAATGACGCAGGCGTTCCGCACCGCCCCAGCCGCTCCAGGCCTCTGGGCAGCATGGGAAGGCGGAAAGGTGGCTCCAGGCCAGAGTGAAGGCGGAAAGGCAACTCCGGCCAGAGCGAAGGCGGTGCCGGCAGCCAGGGGAAGGAAGGCCCATTCTTGCACTAATCTTCATGCATCGGGCCTCTAGTAAAAGCCTAATATGCTAAGTGTCCAGTTGTCCAGTCATCCATTCAACCAATCAAAGCGTAATATGCTAATGATATGCTACGGCTGCTCAACCGCTCGCTATGACGTGCACTGACCACCAGGGGCAGACATCGACTGGTCACCAGTTGCTGTGATATGCACTGACCACCAGGGGGCAGACAGTCAACTGGTTGACTAGTCACTATGACGTGCACTGACCACCAGAGGGCAGATGCTCTGACTGGTAGGTTAGCTTGCTGCTGGGGTCCGGCTGATTGGGACTGAGTGAGATGGGCCGGACACACCCTGGAGTCCTCTCATGGTATCTTTCTGGCAGGTCAACCTCCCTTGTCCCTCTCCAACCCTTTCATGCATTGGTGGGATCCCTTGGCCTGGCCTGCACCCTCTCACAATCTGGGACCTGTTGGGGGATGTCGGAGAGCCGGTTTTGGCCCAACCCTGCAGGCCAGGCTTAGGGACCCCACTGGGGCATGAATTTGTGCACCGGTCCTCTAGTAACAAATAAATACCTATTCATTTCTCCCTGTGTACATAACTCCTTTAAGTTTAAGAACAGACATACTTCTTAGACTAAAGTGAAGATTCATTGATTAATTTATTTAATCATTTATGTAAAAAATGTTTACAAAGTTCCTAATGAGCAGGTCACATCTCAGCCTTGGAGATACATTGATGAATAAGACAGTAAGGTTCCTGCCCTCAAGTTGCTTAAATTAAAGGAAGGACTGTTCCACTGAGCATGTGCTTAATTCATCATATTAGTAACTTAGTGGTGTAATCTGGGTTTCGAACAGTTACCTCATCTACACTAGAGAGGCGATGTTTCTCTCCCTGCTAGATTCTTGTCAGGTATCCTCCAAAGGAAAACAAACTATCTTGAGGATTAGTGTTCTCCCACTTTCTGGCTTTACCAACCCCACCTCCAACTCAAGTCCAGAAAAATTTTAAGAGAGGTGGTTGCTTACAAAAATGGAGTTATGATGAAATACTATTTCAGAAAATTCTGTTCCTGAAGTGGCTTATCTAGTGCTCCTCATACATATCTAGTAAGTCTAACAGCTGAGAGCCTTTCAGATTGTATGTTAATATGATTACAAATATTCTGTCTTAGAGATAAAAAGGTTTTTAATTTTTTAAAAAAAACCCTCATGGTTTAAATAAAGATAAGGCTGTGATCATCTTAAAATTATATAGATCTCTAAAAATTGCAATTATATTTTTGTCTCCTTTATTCTAGATAAAAAGTTGTTTTATGTTGGAAAAGACAGAAAACAAAATCGTTTGGTAATTATTTCAGAAGAAGAAAAAAAGAAAGTCCTAAGAGAATGCCATGAAAACAACACTGGAGCCCATCATGGCATATCCAGAACCCTCACTCTAGTGGAATCCAATTACTACTGGACTTCTGTGACCAATGATGTCAAACAGTGGGTATGGCAGTTATTTAGAATATTTTGAATAATGTATCTGTAATAGATATCCAAAATTCATTGCTCCAGATTTACTCTGGATAGCAGTTTTCATTTACCAGTTAACTGCCACGATATTTTGAACTTAATTTAAAAAGGCCTGCCGCTTGCGTCTTTAGATGCTTATGGCGTACAAATGGTTTAGTACCTTTTGTGTGGGTAATTTTTTTAAATATATTTTATTGATTTGTTACAGAGAGGAAGGGAGAGGGATAGAGAGTTAGAAACATCAATGAGCGAGAAACATCGATCAGCTGCCTCCTGCACACTCCCTACTGGGGATGTGCCTGCAGCCAAGGTACATGCCCTTGACAGGAATCGAACCTGGGACCCTTGAGTCTGCAGGCCGCCGCTCTATCCACTGAGCCAAACTGGTTAGGGCTGTGTGGGTAATTTTTGTACAGAAAATTTTGTGTGCTTTATTTTCCTTCAGAATTCTTCTTTAAAATCACTAAAATATAATTTGAACTAGAACAAAGCATTATTTAAACATTATATTTAGACAGATTTTTTAGAACTAGACTTTCATCATTGATCTCTATATAGGCAGAATATAAATGGGGTTGAAATTCCTTTAACTAAATGACCTCATTGATGGCAGTCATCCAATCTTGATGTGAATTCTTCAAGTGAATATGTTCATAAAAAGTCAGGTCCTGTGTGTGCCCTCATCTTTTGTGCCCATTTCATCTTGCCGTAGAAAATGTCAAATATGGCAGAAACCTAAAACCAACTAAACACAAAGTCAAGTTGTGAAGATAATGAAATTAGTCTGAGTTTTGTAACTTTATAACCTGCTAGGACATTCAACTTCTTATAATAAAAAGTTCACCCAGAAATTCTGGGATTCTTGCTGGTAGGTGAACTGATTTCTACTCTTTTTAGTACACTCAATTTGCAAATGGTAGGAATTCCTTGATATATATGTGAGATCCCTTTAATAATTATAATAGTGCATCTAAAGGATGGTCATTTTAGGCATAAATAATTAAACCAACACTTAAAAAAGTATAATTTATGAGTTATCAGTTTATGAATCTATGCAGGTATTCCAAAGACCTGGATATTTGTATTTTCCTTTAGAATCTGCCACAGTTCCTTTACAGACATTTGATGAAATCTTTGTCAAATTTGAGGATGGATATTATTTTTGAAAATAACCAGGTTATTTGTATATAAGTTGTAAAATAAAACTTTTCATAAAAATTAATTATACATTGATATTTCTCTCTTTCCCTCCCCCCTCCCTCCCTCCTTTTCCATCTCCCTCCCTTCCCCTTCCTCTCTCTAAAAAATAACCTATAAAAAAGTGACTATAATTGAATAAGATTGTTTTAAAATTTTGTTTAGGGGTTGGTTTAAAACTAGTTTCCAAAGTGGAATTCCAGAAATATGTTGAGCAATGACACCATCCATAAGTTCATCAATTGATCTCATCTCATTCACATGAGAGCTCCATGATAGCATGGGTTTTGTTTTTGTCCATTCTCTTTTCCCAGAACCTAAAGGAATTTTTGGTATCTATAAATATTGTTTGAATAAAATTATGTGTTAATAAATATTTGTTGAAGTAGATGTATAAATTAATTTATTGGAGTGATAATTTTTTAAAAAACCTTCTGCTTATAGAAATTATATTTACATACTGATTTCAAATTATAGCAAAGTTGTCTTAAGATCTATTCATTTCATAAATATTTATTGAATGTAAACCAGAATTATGTTCCATTTGAGTAAAACTCCTTAAGATGGTCATTGAAGCCCTAACTGGTTTGGCTCAGTGGATAGAGCGGCGGCCTGCGAACTCAAGGGTCCCAGGTTCGATTCTGGTCAAGGGCATGTACCTTGGTTGTAGGCACATCCCCAGTAGGGAGTGTGCAGGAGGCAGCTGATCGATGTTTCTCTCTCATCGATGTTTCTAACTCTCTATCCCTCTCCCTTCCTCTCTGTAAAAAATCAATAAAATATATATTTTAAAAAAAAGATGGTCATTGAATAGTATAGCAACTAATATTTACTTATTATCTTGAATAGGAGGTTTTATTTTATTCTAGAATAATCCAAAAATTTCTTCTTCAATACACAAAGTACCTATTAACTATTAAAGTTTTAGATTTATAAGACTGCTTTTATTATGTTGAATATATTAAAATTCACATGTCTTTTCTTCACGGTGTGCCTGTTTTGCAGGTATATGCTTGTCGTCATTGTCAGGTGGCAAAAAATACAGTTATTCTAGCACCTAAACAGCACCTCAAAGTGGAAAATCCATGGAGTATAGTTACTGTTGATCTAATGGGCCCATTTCATATAAGCACCAGACGTCACGTATATGCTATGATCATGACAGATTTGTTCACAAAATGGGTTGTGATTTTGCCTCTGTGTGATGTTTCAGCATCAGAAGTTTCTAAAGCTATTATCAATATATTTTTCTTATATGGACCTCCTCAGAAAATAATAATGGACCAAAGAGATGAGTTCATTCGTCAGGTAAGACAGCTGAGGTCTAAGCTCTAAAATCAGTAAACATATTCTTGGGTGAGGATTATACAAACACAAAAATCTGAGTAAAGAATTTTATTACATATATATTGCATATTCATTTACTGACATAGATAATTATATAAAAAATAGGTATTAAAACACTAAAATAAAAACCCATAAGGTTAACCATGGAATTATTTTTAAGAGGAATAAGATTATAGATTTTTTTCTTAATTTTTCAATTTATATGTATTATCAAATTGCTTTTATAATTTTAGTGATTAAAATATGCAAAATTATCTGTTGCTTTTGTCATATAAATTACTAGTGCTCAGCAATAATTAGTTATCCTAGTCTTCAAATATAGATGGCTCCTTCTAGACTTTTGCAGGTAGTGAAGCCCAAGTAACTAGATCTAGCCAAAGAAATTGAGTGGATGGATGTGCGCCACTTTTACAGCCCGAGGTAGTGAAAAACTCGTGCTTAATTCTTCAATCCCCCAATCTTACTCTTTTCTCTGGAGAACTGACAGAATATTCCAGATATTATACTGGAGAGTGATGGAATTTCTCTCATCCAGAATTGCTGGGGCACCTAGTTGAGAATAGTTGCTTTGGAAAGACATTTTGACCTACAGCTGACTTTGAATGAGCAAACAGTAAAACTGTTGGATTAAGCCTCGGAAACTTGAATGTGTTTTGTAATTGCAACATAATCTTGACTACCTTGACTGACACAGCAGTGATATGCAAAATAGGGTATGTAAGACCCTGTTTTGTTTGATGACAATATTAGAAATTCTGTTTATATTTCTTTGTTTTTTTTTTGTTTGTTTGTTTTTTTATTTTTTTTAATTTATTGCTTAAAGTATTACAAAGGGTATTACATATGTGTCCATTTTCTAATAAGAAAGAAATACAGCTTTACTAACAATGTGGACAGATTGATAATTGCATCCTGAGTCAATAAGGCAAATGATTGTGTGTCACACCTACTGTGCCAAGGTATCATAAGAGAAAAGTGAGAATCCTCAATATATAGGAATCTTCAGTGGTTCCCTGTCTCTTGTTTTCAGCAATAATTGAATTTATGGCTATCGTGTAATTTTCAGCAAAGCTAATCCTCACAGAATAGCCAGGTGGCTTAAATTTCTTGTAATAAAACATGATAATATCAATAATGCAGTCACCTATCAACCACAAGAAAATGATAGAGCTGACACTTCTAATTAATTTGTGGTATTAGATCTTTCATAGACACATTAATGAAATGAAAATAAATATGAACTAATCCAATCTGATAGGAAATTGGCCACCAAAATTAAAAATTATAAAGTATACTATTTGGAAATATTTGCTTTTACCTCTGTTAATGAGGAGCCTCACCTTAAGTGCATATACTGCTTCAAGAAATTAAATAATGACAGCATAAAGCCAATATGAATCACCAGCAGTTTTTCCAGTCATGCTTAAAATCATGTGATAATCAGTCCAGCACTTTGAAAATTTTACCAGAAGTAACAATAAATACTTATAAGTCTCTTTTAAGAGGTTAAATAATGCAAAAAATTAAAAATCACATGATTGGGAAAATGTGTTCTTTTTGCTGTGATTTAAATGGCTTAACTATTACAAAGAAAGCGTAATGATTACCAAATGTTTTATTTTGTCAGCAAATACAGAAAACACTGGTAAAGTGTTGTAATAAGATTAGAACAGTGTACACAAAGTGGGAGATTTATCATATAGTTAGATGAAAATACATGTTTCTATCGTAACTTGGCTTAGAATATTTGCTGAATTGTTATTCAATAAAATATAGATTTTTTTTGTAAGCCTCTGAGGAAGAGAGAATAAACATTTTCAAATGTAAAATTACTTCTTTAATTTTAGAAATATGTCTTATGGAAAACCAAAATTGTAACCACTAGTGGGATGTCTGGTTTAATGGGAAGAAAAAAGAGGCTATTGGGGTAAGGTTATCAAGATAGCATCTCACAAATGGATTCACTGGGTCATTCCTAGGAAATTTCTTGAAAAAAAGAAGTTGAAGCCATTCCAAAGATGCCACTTAAAACCATTGATTATGACCCCAGATTGAAGCTTACCCAAATATACCTATTCTCTGGGATTTCTTTTTAGTTACTTTTTAATTAAAAGGAGATAGATAGCTTACTACTACATAGTATACCAGTATTAGCTAGAAATTGTATTCAGCTGCAAGTAACACAGAACACTTCTCTTCCTCCCAGTATAAAAATTTAGGTAAAAGAAGGCCCAGGTTGGAAGGGTAACTCTGAATGTCATTGGGAACTGATACTTCTAGCTTTAGGAGGTGACTGTAGCTTGTGCTTCCAGTATGGCTGCCAGAGCCCATGCCACTAAAATGTCAGAAAGAGGGGAAAGGTAATGGGCAAAAAAACCCAAAAAACTAGTACCAGCTGAGTCCACCCAACAACTATTATCTCCTTCCTTCTGCTCACTCTGGGGTTTTCTTGTTGCTCTCTTTCTAATTCTTTGAGTTGTAGAGTTAGATGATTTACTACCATTTTTTCTTGTTTGTTGAGATAGGCCTGTAGAGCTATAAACTTCCCTCTCAGGACTGCTTTCATTGTGTCCCATAGGTTTTGGATTGTTGTGTTTTCATTGTCATTAGTTTCCAGGATGTTTCGAATTTCTTCTTTGATTTCATTGGTAACCCAATCAATATTTACTAGCATGCTATTCAGCTTCCAGGTGTTTGAGTATTTTGGGTTGTTTTTATTGTAGTTTATTTCTAATATTATGCCATCGTGGTCTGCGAAGACGCTTTTTATGATTTCAATTTTCTTGAATTTGGGGATACTTTGCTTGTGACCCAATATATGGTCTATTTTTGAATATGTCCTATGAGCATTTGAGTAGAATGTATATTCCCTGGCTTTCGGGTGAAGTGTTCTGAAGATGTCTATTAAGTCCATCTGATCTAGTGAGTCATTTAGGATTGCTGTATCTTTGCTGATTATTTGTCTAGAGGACTTATCCAGTGCTGTCAGTGGTGTATTAAAGTCCCCAACTATGATTGTATTGTTGTCGATGTCTCCTTTGATATCTTCCAGGAGTTTTTTTATGAATTTGGGTGCTCCTGCATTGGGTGCATATATGTTTACCAGGATTATATCTTCTTGTTGTATTGATCCCTTTAGTATTATGAAGTGGCCTTCCTTATCTCTTGTTATGGCCTTCACTTTGAGGTCTATTTTGTCCGATATAAGTATTGCTACCCCAGCTTTCTTTTCCTTTCCATTTGCCTGAAAGATATTTTTCCATCCTTTCACTTTCAGTCTGTGTGAGTCCCTTCTAATGAGGTGGGTTTCTTGTAGACAGCAGATGTATGGGTCATGTTTTTTTATCCATTCAGCCACTCGATGTCTTTTGTTTGGAGCATTTAGTCCGTTTACGTTTAAAGTTATTATTGAAAGGTACTTGTTTGTAGGCATTTCTGTTTTTGTGTGGCTGTTTTCTTTCTGAGCTTTTTATTTCTTATTTTTATACCAGTCCCTTTAGCATTCCTTGCATTGCTGGCTTGGTGGTGATAAACTCCCTTAGCCTTTTTTTGTCTGTGAAGCTTCTTATTTCCCCTTCAAGTTTGAATGATAGCCTTGCTGGATAGAGTATTCTTGGATTCAGTCCTTTGCTTTGCATCACTTTGTAAATTTCCGTCCATTCTTTTCTGGCCTGATGTGTTTCTGTTGAGAAATCATTTGACAATCTAATGGGAGATCCCTTGTATGTAACTTTCCGTCTCTCTCTTGCAGCCTGTAAGATTCTCTCTTTGTCCTGAACATTTGCCATGGTAATTATGATGTGTCTTGGTGTGGGTCTTTTTGGGTTCACCTTGTTTGGGACTCTCTGGGCTTGTGTGACTTTTTTCTTCCCCACCTCAGGGAAGTTTTCTGATATTATTTCTTCTAATAGGTTTTCTAATCCTTGTTCATCCTTCTGTTGTTCTGGTACCCCTATTATTCGTATGTTGTTTCGTTTCATGTTGTCCCAAAGCTCCCTTAGGCTCTCCTCCTGTCTTTTCATTTTTTTCTCCAATTGCAGTACATTTTGGGTGTGTTTTGCTTCCTTGTCTTCTAAATCACTAATTCGGTCCTCCGCTTCTCCTAGTCTACTGTTGATACTTTCAATGGAGTTTTTCATTGCAGCTATATCACTCTTCATATCTTCTTGGGTCTTACTTAAGTTGTTGATTTTTTCATCTGTTTCTTCTAGCTTCTTCCATATGTTATCGATTTTTTCATCTGTTTCTTCTAGCTTCTTCCATATGTTATCAATTTTTTCATCTGTTTCTTCTTGCTTCTTGCTGAGGTTGTCGATTTTTTCCTCCATCTGGTTTATGCACTCTAGGACCCTTATTCTGAATTCTTTTTCTGTCATGTTGCATGCCTCTGTATTACTTAGCTGCTTTTCTGGAGAGTCCTCCTTCTCTTTCCTTTGGGGGTTTCTTTGTCTACCCATGTTTGATCTCACTGACATATCTAGACGTTGAGTCGTTCAGTGGCTGCTCCCTTGGTGGCAGTGACTCCTTGGTCTGGGGTTCCTCTTTGGGCGGTTGCGGTAGCAGCTGCTCTTCAGTTGGCAGCAACTCCTCTGGTGGGTGCTGTTCACAGCTGTGGTGGCTCTTCTGGCTGGTGGGGCGAGGTTTCACGTACAGCTGCTGTTCCTCAGCAGAGGGTGTGGTGCTCAGGAGGTTGCTGTTGCTTGGATCTGCTGTGTTGATTTAAAGGCACAAAATACAACACAACAAGGCACCACGTACCAGGCACTATACACAAATATATTCACGTTATTAATAACCCCAAATAAAGGTGACCACCTGAATTAAGAGAATTAGGGGATAAGGAAGAAGGAAGAGAAAAAGAGAAAAGAGAAAAAAGAAAAGAAAATTAGGGACCAAAAAAAGGAGTGCAAAAATGAAATTGGGAAAAAGGAGGGGGGAAAGTAAAAGCGAGAAAAGAAAGGAAAAGAAAAAAAAAGAGCGAAAAGAGAGAATGAAGTGGAAGAGGGGAAGAGACTTTTTATATGAGGAGAATACTCCTATAGAACAGCCATTAATCCCAACAAATTCCAGCAACAGCTCCCTGGAGATGAATGCAAACTAGAAACAACCAATAATATAACGATGAAAATAGAATGGAGAACACTAATCCCAAAATAAAATAAAGAGAAAATAAAATGGCACTTTAAAAAAAAATGGTAAAATGGTAGCAGTAATAATACTGGTTAAAAATAAGAAGGTAGTAATTAAAAGGGTAAAATCAGGTGATGGAAAAAAGAAGAAAGAAAAAAAAAAAGAAGAAGAGGAAAAGAAAAAAAAAAGAAAAAAAAAGAAAAAAAATTGGTTTCTTAGTTAAAAGGTGAAAAAAGAAAAAAAAAAAATATTGCAGTAGTGAAGGTCCTTCGGTTCTTCTATTCTTCAGTGTGGCTCGCCTTAGACCTGCCAGGTATTCAGGAGAGTGTTGAGTTTCCCTGCGATACACTGTTCCTCTGTGTTGTAAACCACAGTCCTTATTTTAAAGCAAGCCGCATTTGTTTCCCAGACTGCCTTATTTTGTGTTTAGCAAAGAGTCAGTTTGTGGGTCAGCCTCTGGGTGGCAGTGTTCTGGGGTTGGCCTCTGAGGCTACAGGGCCTCTCTGTCCAGTGGAAGTTCACTGCCCAGAGCTGGCTGCGTAAGAGTTACCAGTGCTGTGTTGTTGCTGGGATTGAAAATCTCTCTATAGGCCAGACCCTGTTAACTCTCAGGGACTGATCAGGTTATTTTAATCCTTGATCTCCTACAGGGTGGAATCTGGGTGTGGCTGTGCTCCTTGCCTGGGGGCTGGGGGGAGGAGTCTCACTCTCCGGAGAGAATGGCTGCCTCAGACCTGGGCTCAGGGGTGTCTCAGCACTCAATTTGCTGCCACCTCTCCCGGCCCCCCTTCTCTCCTCAGTCTCTCCCCAGATTCCACTCCTCCGCACACTCTCCCTCTCTTCAGCACAGGTGAGTGTCTGTATCCGAAATGTCCCATGAACAGGGTTCAGTGAAAACAAACAAACAAACGCCGGCCGCGGAAACGGGGAAGGCTTGGTTTCTGTAAGCTTCTTCTCTTACCGGGACTGCATAGTCTGGTCAGCTCTTCAGGCTGCCCCCTTTAGGCTCAGTCCTCCGTGATCACAGACCGAGCTCTCAATTCCCCTGGCAGCGCCAGGAATCCCGCGGTTCTCCTTTCCCCTGTTAGGGGCTGTGCCTGTCCCAAGGGACGCGGCTGTCTGCCACGCGGTTTCCCTCCGACTCTCTGGGCTCAGAGGTCTGGCAAACTTTCCTGCCCAAATCCCTGGTTTTTTTACCTTTCCAGGGGAGTTCTGCTCTTCCCGGCTGTAAACCGTCTCGCCAGCTGAGGAATTTCGCCAATTCGGGGTGGATGTTACTAGTTTCAGCTGCTCACTCCATTTGCTCAGGGACACGACCTGGGACGCGTCTGCCTATACCGCCGCCATCTTCCTGAATCCCACCCAACAACTATTAAAAGCCCAACAACTGCATTTGTAACTTTTAAAAAAGATTTTTTTATTGATTTTCTTTTTAGAGAGAGAGGAAGGGAGAGAGAGAGAAATATTGATGTTAGAGTGAAGCATCAATCAGGTGCCTCCTGAATCAAACGGGCAACCTCTAGGTGCACAGGATGACGCCCACCATCTCAGACACACTGGGCAGGGCTCTAAACTCATTTTGACTTCCTTTAGGTCGTGTACATTACAACAATAATAGTAACATTAAGAGTTATAAATTGCCAAGAACTGTTTTAAGTCTTCACATTTACTCATTTAATTATAAAAAGAATCCTGGGTGGGATTTTCCTGATTTTACAGATGAGAAAACTGAGTACACAGAGGTTTGGTGAGTTGGCCAAGGTCATGTAGCTGATAATTGGATTATGTGACCTGGTGTTTTTTAGAAACTATCTACTGGATTAAAATGTTATTTGTACTCAGAGGTGATGTTAAATTCTGTTCTTCCACTTCCTTGATGTATGTGTGTCCCTGGCAAGGCACTATACTTATAAAGCTCCAGCTTCTTATCTTTAAAATGGGGTTAATATTACCTTATTAGATTGTCGTAATGTATAATGACAACAATATAAAGCATCTAGTCTATTGACCAGCACATAGTCAGGACTCAATAAATTATAATTATTATTTTAAATAAAAAATAGATGTTTTTATATAAAATGGCTATGGTCAATGCAAAAGGCAGGTTTCAATTTCTTTGAAACCTTTTAATCAAGGGAAAATAAAATGTTAAAGTCAGCTTTGTTTTATATATTTTCAGATCAATATTGAACTGTGTGGATTGTTTGGCATGAAGCAAATTGTAATTTCTCATGCCTCTCAAGCTGTTAACCAGACTGAAGGTATACCCAACACCATCAAAACATTTCTTTCCAAACACTGTGCTGACTACCCAAACAACTGGGATGATCACCTGTCAGCTGTTTCATTTGCCTTCAATGTCACTCACTTGGTATGTGCCTTTTTGTAATTCTATACTTTTAAGTTATGAGTATTTCTTGCCAAATAAGTGTTTTATTGTAAGTTGTTGTTTATTTTCCTTAAAACAGGAGCCTACTAAAAATACGCCATACTTTCAAATGTTTAATCGAAATCCTTATATGCCTGAGACTTTAGATGTTCTCCATGAAGTGGATGGTGATGATACAAGTATGTTTGCCAAAATTCTAAGTGCAATTAAAGAAGCTGATAAAATAATGGAGAATAAGACAACTTCAGTGGGCCAGGTGATTCTATTTAATAGAAAACTCTATAACAGAAAAATCTATAAAGTGATATTTCAAAATTCTGTAGCATATATACACACACGGATACAAACACACACACACACACACACACACACACACACACACACACACACACAATCTGAAACATCCTTAAACCAAATTCTTTTTCCACCAAATTCTGCTTGTCTTGATTAAACATGGTGCTTACTAGCTATGAAATTCTGAAAGACAGTTATAGGAAAAACATGCATTTTGGAATCAAGTAGAGCAGAATTCAAATCCCTCATCGTACTGCTTTCCAGTTGTTTGACTTGGGCAAATTACTTAATCTACCGCAGTTGACTTTGTTTGTAAAGTTGGGGTAATGCTGACTTTCAAATATTGTTTTAAGGATTAAGTGGGACTCATACCTAACTTTGAAGTAGCATCTGAATAAATAATTATTTATATTATTATCTGCATTTACCTTCAAGAAGCTATAGCTCTTTCATCCCCTTTGTTCTCTCTCTCTTTTCCCCTGCCCCATACTTGTAGATGGAGAATAACACTGTTGATGAAACACATAAAAACAAAATCATTGTTAAAAAGAAACCAAAGCAGTTAAATCCATTTCAACTAAAAGTGGGTCATGAAGTTTTAAGGCAAAGGAAAAACTGGTGGAAGGATGGTCGTTTCCAGTCGGAATGGGTTGGTCCTTGTGTCATAGACTATATTACAGAAAGTGGATGTGCTGTTCTGAGAGACAACACTGGGACTAGGCTTAAAAGACCTATCAAAATGTCTCACCTTAAGCCCTATGTAAGAGAATCCAGTGAACAAGGTAAATATCTGTCACTTCTCTATACTTTTACTTTCTTTGAATGAGGAGAGAAGTTAAAAATAAAACCCCACACATTTTCATTTTTATAAAACTTGGTATAGTTTTAGATCCCAGGTAGTCTGTTTTATTAGAATATCTCTTCTGGAACCATCAGGCTTAAAAGAGATTTTATTTTGATTGCTAGTGTGCAATCTCACACTTTCCCATAGTTCATGTGGGAGATACTGAGCAGTTTCACAGAAGAATTAATGTGTTCTCTATTTTCATATTCAGTATTTTATGAGCAACTTTGTGTCTCATTTTAGCATGAGATAATGCCAAAAACAAACATACTGTCCAAAATCCTGTTGTGAGATAAATTTATTAGAGGACTTAAAAGAAATGTGATTAGTTTTTAACATTCCATTATAGTCAGGTGGGTATGGGGGAGAGGGCAGAATGGGGTGTATTCCGAGTGTTATAAGGTGCTATAAGAAGAGGTGATAACACCCTAAACAAAGTTATATATTCCCCCAGATATGGTTCTGAACAGTCAAGATATCCTGATTTCTTTAACCGTTTCTTTCATAGATAGAGCTGAATGACATTTTGCTATGGCTTTCAGATTAAATCCCACTTTTGTGAGACTTTTGTTTTGTTCTAGTGTATCTGCTCCCTAGAATTTCTCTGAGTTGGATAACTCAGAGGGAGTTCATTGGTACCTTAGCCATTTAACTTTGCCTTTTCCATAAAGAAAGATAAAGCATCAATATTATTTGAATATGAATAACAATTTATGGAAGATACAATTTAGTATAGTTTTAAACAGAATAAATAGCTGAGTTCTTTAACAGTCTTAATAATAATTAGAAGAGCACCAGATAACCTACACTTTATAGGACACTAGAGGCCTAGTGCACGAATTCATGCACGGGTGGGGTCCAGCTGGCCACCTCCCCCAATTGGGGGGGGGGGGCGACCGGGGGGGGGGACGACTGGGGGGAGGGGCCACGGCTGGCTGGGGGAAGGGGCACAGGAGGTTGGCCAGCCACCCCTGCTCCCCGATTGGGGTGGAGGGGCAGATCAGAGGCTGCCCCCCAATTGGGCTGGTTGGCTGACCACAGTGGGTATCATAGTGACTGGTCGTTCTAGTCGTTCTGGTGTTCTGGTCGCTTGGCTTTTATATATATACTAGAGGCCCGGTGCACAAAATTCGTGTACGGGGTGGGGGTGTCCCTCAGCCCAGCCTGCACCCTCTCCAATCTGGGACCCCTCGAGGGCAGTTGAACATCCCTCTCACAATCCAGGACCGCTGGCTCCCAACCACTCACCTGCCTGCCTGCCTGGTCACCCCCAACTGCCTTCCCCTGCTGGCCTGATCACCCACAACTGCCCTCCCCTGCTGGCCTGATCACCCACAACTTCCCTTCCATGCAAGCCATCTTGTGGCGGCTATTGTGCCCACATGGTGGAGGCCATCTTTGACCACATGGGGGCGGTCATCTTGTGTGTTGGAGTGATGGTCAATTTGCATATTACTATTTTATTAGGATACTAGAGGCCCAGTGCACAAAATTCGTGCATGGGTAGGGTCACCAGGCCTAGCCAGCGAGCAGGGCTGATTGGGGCCTTCCTTCCCCAGCTGCCGGCTGGGGCCTTCCTTTGTTTCACACCGCCTCCTGGTGGTCAGCACACGTCATAGTGAGTGATCAAACTCCGATCTCCCGGTTGAACTCCCGAGGGGACACTTTGCATATTAGCCTTTTATATATATATAGATAGATGAAGCTCTTGGAGTCTGTTTGCTCAGTAATAGCTCAATTGTGGTTCTGATCTGGGTCACAGCTCTCATATTAGAAGCTCATAGTGCCTTTCCATCTGCTTGTGATAGATCCAGTTGCTCTGTTAGTAATCTTATCTTGAACTATTTGAATTCTGAAAGCTCATGGTACCTTCATTCTCTTTGTTAGAAGATAAGCACTTTATTTCTTGTGTTTCTTAATTCTGAGCTATCCTGTATTATTTCTTCCTTCTGCAATTTAAGTAGAAAAACTTTATGCGGGTACATTTCCTTTCTTCTTTAGCATGATTTTCTTCTTAACCTTTGACATTCAGCTTCTTTCTAATGTGTTAACCTCATTAATACAAAATTTATATTTAAAGTATTCCTGTTTCAGGATCTGTTCCAATGTTTTGCAATTTGCTCTTGCCAAAGAAACAAGCCAAACATTTTGCTACTCCTGAATATTTTGGAATCCAGTTGTGTAGAACAGTTTCTAAACAGAGGCTGTATACTCTTTGCTGCTTGCTTGAATTCTCTGCAGATACTTTTTCCAGTATATAAAGGAAGTTGCAATTTTAGTACTAGTGTACACATAAGGAACCTGAGATTGGTGGGTAAACTTGTTTTTCTTGTTAACCAAGAAAGTGTTGATCTGGCCATCTTGGAATCTGGTTCGTGATTACTGTTTGGTCCTTTTTATGTTTCTCTTACTTACAGAAATTCAAAATACAGTGGAACTTCAGTTCTCAAACTTAATTTATTTCAGAAGGCTGTTCAAGAAGCAGTTTGTTTGAAAACTGAATCCTTTTATTCCATTAGAAATAATGTAAATTGAATTAATCCGTTCCAGACCCCCAAATGATTCCCTGTTTTAACCCCTCTTATATATAGTGCCTGTCTAATGTACTATTTAATCTATAAATAAACGCTTCTTAAATTCATTGAACCATCCCCTAATAGCCTTAAATGAATTTTTTAAAAAATCCTCACCCAAGTACATTTTTTTCAATTGATTTTTAGACAGAGTGGAAGGGAGGGGGGCAGAGGAAGAGACAGAGAGAGATACACACATTGATTGGACCCTTTGGTCCAAGTGCCCACTCTCTAGCCAGGGCCTTAAATGAATATTTTAATATATCACTGCCTCTGAAGTGCTATGACTGGCTAACTGCTTTTTGTTTATCCAGTCAGCAACAGTTTTTCTACCTGTTCAGTTGCCTGTGATTGTGAGTACTTTCACACCCTTGGCAATGTTAGCACTCTTTGTTTGTTTGTTTGTTTGTTTATCCTCACCAGAGGATATTTTTCCACTGATTTTTAGAGAGAGTGGAAGGAAGGGACTAGAGACAGAGAGGGAGAGAGAAACATCCATGTGAGAACACATTGATTGGTTGCCTCCCACAGCTGACCAGGAGATATGTCCCCTTGACCTGAATGGAACCAGGACCCTTCAGTCCTCTCACCAATGCTCTATCCACTGAACCAAACCGGCTAGGGCAACATTAGCGCTCTTGATGGTCTTTATGTTTTAAATTTGTGCTAATCATTTGATTTCCACAGCAACAAAAGCATTCTGTCCTTTGTTGCCTGAGAGACACTTTTGGACATGCTGAGGTATCAGCATGAAAGGTCCAAAACTGAAGTTTTGGTTGACAACTGAGACATTTTTTTCAGTGAACTGTTTTATCGAGAACCGAATTGTTGGAGATGGGAGATGTTCCAGAAATGAGGTTTGACTGTAATGTGATATCGGCAGTCTTTTTTTCAATATCACATATTTTCCTGAAAATCTTCACCTCAGAAGCTGATTTTAAAGAGTCTTGAACTAAATTTAAAGCAAATAAAATGTCTTTGAATAAGCACCCCATTCTTTTATTTGACATACATTTGGATGAGCTATAGCCAAAAGAACTATGAATTTGTCTGTACTTGTCATTGCTACTTTTACCAGCCTTGAGATTTTGTAGTTGTATTAAAGGCTCATTGTCCAAAGCAGATAAGCTTCTGATGCCAATTTCTTATCCATTCTTATCCAGAACATGGTGTAGAGAGAGCACATTCTGTACTATGTCTATAATGTTTCTCATTATTACTTTAAGCAATCCTATTTGTCATTTTGTCTCTCTAAATGACAGGCATCTTTTCAAGATTAATTATTTTAACAAGAAATTTAATGATATACCATAGTGTCTCTTTGTAATCATAATGTTCCCCTTTGAAATGAAAAATGTTGTTGAACCATTGTTTCATCCATTATAGATTTTAAATAGTTTCATTTGTTTGTTTTGTTTTGGATAGGAGTTATTGTGATAGATTGTGTCTGCCTCTCCCAAAAGATGTAGTGTGATGGCCCTTCACAATTTGTAAAATGGTTTTCATTATATGTTGTTTCCTACTGCTGCTAAACAAATTATCACAATTTTAGTGGCTTAAAACAATACCAGTTTATTATCTTTCAGTTCAGTAGCTTAGAAGGTCCAACATAGGTCTCACTGGTAAAATTTTACTAGTAAAATCCAGTCAGTGTCAGGGCTCTGTTCCCTTCTGTAGGCTCTAGACAAGAATCTTTCCATGCCTTTTTCACCTAGAGCAGCGGTTCTCAACCTGTGGGTCGCGACCCCTTTGGCGGTCGAATGACCCTTTCACAGGGGTTGCCTAAGACCATCCTGCATATCAGACATTTACATTACTATTCATAACAGTAGCAAGATTACAGTTATGAAGTAGCGACGAAAATAATTTTATGGTTGGGGGTCACCACAACATGAGGAACTGTATTAAAGGGCCAGAAGGTTGAGAACCACTGTTCTAGAGGCTACCTGTACTGCTTGGCTTGTGGCCCTCTTCCTCTGTCTTCAAAGACAGCAGCACATCACATCACTCCAACCTTCTATCTTCCACATTTAAGGACCGCAGGTTTTGGGACCAACCAGATAATTCAGGATAAACTCCCCATATTAACATAGCTTGTTAGTAACTTTAATTCCATCACTATCCTAGTTCATCTTTGCATGGAAAGTAATATATTTACACATTCCAGAGATTAGTACATGGAGATCGTTAGTGGCCCATTCTGCCCACCACAAGAAGGTCTACACCCATGAAACAAACAAAGCTTAGTCTCTATATTATCAAGCCCATGATCTTGACTTTAGTATTTAATATAGTTTATGCAAAGAGCCTCCCTTTGGCCTTTTACTTATATAACCTGAACTCAGTCCTTCAGTTCTCTGTGGTTAGTATTGGTTATTTATTATAACAACAACTATGTAGAATCAAATATGGTTATTGTTATTTTATCAGAGAAGATGAGTATGGCAATACATTCTAATGGTTTTAGGATTATCAGGCCATATATAGGAATAGTCAAGTCACCTCTCTTCTGAATAAGAAAATTAAGTATTCTGAAACCCTATACTTTTCTATTTGAAAAAATAAATTAATCCAAATCACTCATACTTCTCTGAGGCTTTGATTTTAATTTATTTTTCTCCTTGGGGATATTTAAATTTTTTTATTCTTTTTTTTTACAGAATAGTCATGGGGGTGTAAACTACAGCATATTTAATATAGTCAATAATATTTCATAAATAACTATGGTGTCAGATGGGTACAAGGTTTATTGGGATGATCACATAGTAAATTATAGAATATCTAATCACTGTGGTGTACACCCAAAACTAATAGGATATTGCATGTCAACTATAACTGAAAAATGAATTAAAGCACATAAACAAGCAAACAAAAAACTTTAGAAAGGGTAATATGAACACAAACCTAAAAAAGTCTAAAAATAATTTGCTTCTTAAACTTATTTTTTACTCCTTTAAACTGCATAAACTGAAATATTGCTTTCATCAGACACAACTAAATCAATATATTGAGAAAAGAAAAATACTTAGTCTCTTGTGTAATGGGACTGAGTAGAAAAGTCCTTTAAAAATGTTTGTTTAGCCCAGCCAGCGTCGCTCAGTGGTTGAGCACCGACCAGTGAATCAGGAGGTCAAGGCCCGGGTTGTGGGCTCAATCCCCAGTGGGGTACACAACCAATCAATGATTCTCTCTCATCGCTGATATTTCTATCTCTCCCTCTCCCGTCCTGTCTGAAATCAATCAAAATATTTATCTCTCTATAATGAAGACAGAGCTTATTTTGTTCTTTTTTATATCCCTAACTCAGAATTCTAGGATCAGTACTATCCAGTAGATACACAATGCAAAAAGTATGCAATATCTAATTTTAAATTTTCTAGTACTCACATTTAAAAAGTACAAATAGGTGAAAATAATTTTAATAATATATTTTATATAACCTAGTGCAGTGGTTGGCAAACTGCGGCTCGTGAGCCACATGTGGCTCTTTGGCCCCTTGAGTGTGGCCACGAAGTTTCAATCACACTGTATGTGCGCGCCCGCACGTGGTATTTTGTGGAAGAGCCACACTCACGATGCCGCAGTTTGCCGACCACTGACCTAGTGTCTCTAAAATATTATTTCAATATGTATGTAAGGTCTCAAGAGTCACTGTTCTGGTAATTTTTTGTAATCTTTTTTTGAAGTTAAAGAGCATTTCTATTGGCTCCAGTAGACTTAGACCATAGTAGGAGTTAAACATATTTGACCTTTCTGAATGAATGAGAATATTGTATGTTTTTTTTCTACACAAACAAAGCTTGAAATCTCCAGAGTAGTGTTCTATTGCAGTTGTGTAGAATTTGCTGAGTATAATCCTTATTACAATAATTTACTTTTCTATATATATTAAAGCCTAAGTGACCATTTGACTGTTAACTATGATGCACACTGATCACCAAGGGGCAGACACTCAATGCACAGGCATGGAAACATGGAACAGGCTGATGAATCTCAGAGGGAAGTGGGGGGCAGGAAGAGATTAACCAAAGATCTTATATGCATACTAGAGGTCTGGTGCATTTGTGCACTGGTAGGGTCCCTCGGCCTGGCCAGCGGGGTTTAGGCCAAAACTGGCAGTCTGACATCCCCCGAGGGATCCCAGATTGTGAGAGCGTGCAGGCCAGGCCAGGGGACCCCACCGGTGCACGAATCCATGCAAAAGGGCCTCTAGTTTAAAAGAAAAAGTGTGTGTGTGTGTGCGTGTGTGTGTGTGTATCACATATGTAGAATGTGTATCACATATATAGAACCTCCTGACAAATAAGTGTGGTAAAGTCCATTTGTTACTAAGTCTAATATAACTAGGTACTTAAGCTCAAGATCTATAAATGCATTTCTAGCATATCAAAGTGGTAACTTTATTTCTCTATATATAAACTTTGAAATTCATATATCATTTTATTCATTCTCTGAAATGTTTATTTAGTGGGTAGGAGAATCCAACAAAAGTTAATCTTGTTAGTTAATTCTTATTACTTGGGATTTTGTTCTTCATTTAGCATTGTTTAATTTAAAATGATGTTTAATTATAATTCTAAAAGGCAAACTTATGTTTCTTCTTTCAGACAGTCTTTATCTCTTACAAAGTTCAGTAGTGGCAGATCATGACTACATTGGACTGCCTGAAATTCCAGTTGGAGCATACCAAGCAAGTATTCTGGTAGAAGACGCAACTATTGGTGTAGCTGATAATGAACTATTGACATCAAGCAAGGATGGTGAACTATTAGAATATAGAAATACTAAAATCTCTCCGTTAATAGAAGATAATAGTAATCTTGAAAAGCAGACATTCAGTTTGTTGGACTCCTCAAACCAAGTCCTTGAGTACTTAAGTTAGTAAATACCAAAATTTATTTATAGTGCTTGTTGAGAATATATAACCCCTTGAAACTTGATATTTTTTCCATTGAAAAAGGTTGTATAGAAGTGTCTGGACACACTCTTAATAACTAAATTCTGAACATTTATTTTATAACTATTTATTGATCTAAAGTTGTACCTTTTGAATGTTAGTGCATATATATAAGGGCAAAGAAAGCAGATAATATATAGAATTCACTTTTTCTTCTGAAAAAAACAAACAGGCAATGCTTGTTTCTTAGGAAGTAAAGTAAATTTCAGCTCAAAACTTTCAGATCTTTTGATATGGTACCATGTTTTCAGTTTTAATTTTTTAAAAAATATTTCTTCTTTAAAAAATAAATTTAAACTATCTTGAATGGTATTAATAAATATTTATTCAATTATAACAATGAATTAAGTGAAATTTCTCTCTGTGTCACTGGAATGTCTAAAAACAATATTGTAGGGCTCTAGCCAGCATGGCTCAGTGGAAAGAGTGTCGGCCTATGGATTGAAGGGTCTCCGGTTTGATTCCAGTCAAGGGTATGTACCTCTGTTGCAGGCTCGATCCGCGGCTCCGATCCCCGGCTCTGGTCGAGGCGTGTGTAGAGGCAGCCAGTCAATGTGTCTCTCTCACATACATGCTTCTCTCTCTCTGCCTCTCTCTCTCTCTCTCTCTCTCTCTCTCTCTCTCTCTCTCTCTCTCTCTCCCTCCCTCTCTCTCTTTCCCTTCCACTCTTTCTAAAAATCAATGGGAAAATGTCCTTGAGTGAGGATTAACCAAGAAAAATTTTTTAGAAACAATATTGTAGGAAAATATTTAGTTACTTAATGGGTTCTTATAGGAAGGATATTGACAATTATACCTTGTTAGTCTCAGGATTAGGATCTGAAACTATATATTGATTTGAAAACATTTGTGCATTTTCATAATATATTTTAGAGCCAAAATCATTCATTAATAATATTTTTTCCCACAGTCGTAAGTAAATATTAAAAAGGAAATGAATATTAATGATAAAGTAACTGATATCAAAGATTTTAAACTATCATTTCTATGTTGTTTATAATTTTACTCATCAAATATTTGTTATAAAGCACTTTGAAGAATACTGTGGAAAAATTAAAAGATGAGTCAGGCCTGTGTCTGATCCTCATAAGGGACTTACAGTCTGGAAAGGAATGTGGACCAAATAAGCCATGTACAACACAAGCACTAACTCTGCGAAGATTTGAGGTGAAGTTATGCACATCCTTCCTACTCACATTACAGCGGTTAAAGCTACACACACTGCTGATGGGTATAGGTTTATTTTTGCGGTGATGACAATGTTCTAAAGTTAGTGGTGATGGCTGCATGACTCTGAAAATAATAAAATTCATTGAATTTTACACTTTGTTTGCAAATTCTGTTAGAGGCCATATATGATGAAAGTTATTTTCCTAATAAATAGTCAATACAAGCTATTCAAATAAAAAGCTAATTTTATTACTGAAATCCCAGTATTGTAATGTAGAAGTTCCAAATACAGATTTTTAGTAAGCAAATGCACACAGATTATATATACACACATAGTATTGTCTCTAATGGTTGCCGGGCTCTGTCAAGAGTGAAAATACAGGTCCACATACCATATACCTGACTTTTTAGAGTGATAAATCTAGCTAATTATTTCTATCCTTGGCAAATATGCCTTCCTTAAGTTTCCAGAATTCTTGGGCTCTTCAAGCCCTGTATTGATGAGTGGCAAAGCAGGGAGAGCTGGTCTCAGAGAGCCTTTTTGCCCCAACTCTATCCTCTCCCAAGGAAAACCCATCCCAGCTTCTACATGCTCCTTGACCAGCCCAGTCTGGGAATGTTCTCTCCAGCTGTCTATCCACCCCCCTGGAACTGACCAGAAAAGCTGCCAGGGGAGAAGGGCCATGTCTCTAGGCCCTGTGGTCTCACCCTACAGGGAAGGACATAGACTCCAGCAGGCAGAATCTAGTCCTCAAGCAAAGGGTCCAGAGTGGGGTCTCTCTTGCCTGGATTTAAGGAGGTTTTTGATAGGATGAATATACAGTAAAATTTTGACAAAAAACAATCCAGAAAGGCTTTTATGAGGTTTTGTGTGCCACCTTGTGGTATTACTATGAACACTTAAAACTTAACATGATATAGAAGGAAATGGAAATGCTCAGCTAAAATGAAGGAAAAGTACATTCTGAATGAGCATAATTGCCTGGTTTTGAAAAGTTTTTAGATATCATGATTTACATATCAAGTGTGAAATTTTCTAATAGTGCTATCTAAAATAATTTAATTCACTAAGATTTATAAAAGTAACCTGCCCTGACCGGTTTGGCTCAGTGGATAGAGCATCGGCCTGCGGACTGGAAGGTCCCAGGTTCGATTCCGGCCAAGGGCATGTACCTTGGTTGCGGGCACATCCCCAGTAGGAGGTGTGCAAGAGGCAGCTGATCGATGTTTTTCTCTCATTGATGTTTCTAACTCTCTATCCCTCTCTCTTCCTCTCTGTGAAAAATCAATAAAATATATTAAAAAAAAAAGTAACCTTACTACATATTTACCTGTCAGATTCATTCAATACACTCAAAAAAAGATATGTATTAAATGCCTACCATGTTTCAGGTACTGTTCTGGCACTGAGGGTATATCAGTGAGAAACAAAAGTCCCTGCCCTCCTAGAGTTTACATCCCAGTTGGGTAGTGAAATAGTGACCAGCAGTTTTAAATATATTTCTTTACTTAACATCCAATCTTAAAATGTCATTTATAGCCTTTACACAGGCATCTTGTTGGGATCCCTACCTTAAGCCTTAAAAAGCATGTTTCCGTTCCTCTTATTTTTGGACTGTGTAGAAAGTTGTAACTATTTTACTAGAGGTTTAAAAGGACTGGGCCTTATATCGGAAAACAAATTTAAAAAGTATTAATCCATGCATCCAATTTAATGTGTAAAAAGAACAAGTGAATAAACATAAAGAAAATAGAAGGTTTAAAATAAAAAAGATAACAGAAATTAATGAAATAGGAAATAAACATATAATATGAAGAATAACTAAGCCAAACGTTGCTTCTTTGAAAATACTAATAGAGACAAATACAGTAAGCCTAATAAAAAAATAAACCTAGAGAATTTATAAATAAACAATATTGTGATGTAAAAGGGACAGAATCATGTATAAATGAGGATGTTTAAAAGGGATATTACAGCTTTCCCCAGTAAGTCTGAAACTAACAAAATGGATACATTTTGGAGAAGATAACCTGCAAAAGTGGTTCAAGAAGAAATAATAAGTGAGATGATTTTACCAAACATAATAAAATTTAAGGAATACGTACTTTTAATCTTACATAAATTTTTTCAGAGTGTACAAACCAAAGGAAGACTCTGAAATCTTGGCATGAGGGCGGCATCATCTTGTTATCAAAATCTGAAAAGGACAGAACGAGGAAGGAAAATAACAGGTCATTCTCTCATGAACATAAATACAAAGGCCTGAAAAGAAATTAGCAAACTGAATCTAACAACCTATAACAATATGCATTTTAACCAAATTGAGTGGATCTCAAAAATGCAAGGTTGGTTTCATGTAAAAAAAAAAAAAAAGCAATTAATATAATTAATGGCTGCATTTCTAAGGGTCCTGGTAAGCAGATGAAAAACCTAAAATGATTTCAACTGAAGATAAAGAACTGTTTAAAAGGATTAATGGAGCTCACAAAGGATGGTGGAACATTTGGTAACCAGCAATAGCCAGAAATCTGTAGGCCTAAAGGGTCCAGAAGAGAAAATGCCCAGTGAGAGATGGGTTATGGAAGAGGGTTTAACCAGAATTTGTATCCCTAGAGGAATGCAACCTCTGCCAGAACCATAACAAATCAGAACTGCGACAACCATTGTGAAAATTGTGATAATTCCTCTGGAAGCTGGAATGAGAATGGACTGAAAAAGAGCAGTGGAGGACTAGTTAGGAGGGCGTTGCAATAATTCAGGTGCTAGATGATGATGGCATTGGTAGCAATGGAGGTGGTAAGACATGGTTAGTATCTATTATATTTTGCAGCTAGATTAAACAGAATTTGCTGACATTAGGCGCAGGATTTTTTAAAAAAGTACATGATGACTGTAAGCTTTTCAGGCTAATCTATGATGACTAAACTTTTTAAATTTAAATTCTTTATTAAGATATTACATAAGTCTCCCCCCCCCCCCCCATTGATTTCTCCTCGGCCGCTCCCATCCCCGAGCACATGCCCTCAGCTCCCTACTGTCTTGTGTCCATTGATTATGCTCATATGCATGCATATAAGTCCTTTGATTGATCTTTTACTCCCCCCACCCCCTTGCCTTCCCTCTTAGGTTGGACAGGCTGTTTGATACTTCTATGTCTCTGACTCTATTTTTGTTCAACAGTCAATATTTTTCCTTATATTCCACAAATGAGTGAGATCATGTGATATTTATCTTTCTCCTACTGGCTTATTTCGCTTAGCATAATGGTCTCCATCCATGCTGTTGCAAATGGTAAAAGTTCCTTCTTTTTTACAGCAGCGTACTATTACATTGTGTAGATGTACCACAGTTTTCTAATCCACTCATCTGCTGATGGGCACTTAGGCTGTTTCCAAATCTTAGTTACTGTAAATTGTGCTGCTATGAACATAGGGGTGCCTATATCCTTTCTCACTGGTGTTTCTGATTTCTTGGGATATATTCCTAGAAGTGGAATTACTGGGTCAAATGGGAGTTCCATTTTTAATTTTATGAGGAAACTCCATACTGTTTTCCACAGTGGCTGCACCAGTCTGCATTCCCACTAGCAGTGCACGAGGGTTCCTTTTTCTGCACATCCTTGCCAGCACTTGTTTGTTGCTTTGTTGATGATAGCCATTCTGACAGGTGTGAGGTGGTACCTCATTGTCATTTTGATTTCCAGCTCTCGGATGATTAGTGACTTTGAGCATGTGTGTGTATGTCTGTTGGCCTTCTGTATCTCCTCTTTCAAAAAGTGTCTATTTAGGACCTTTGCCCATTTTTTGATTGGATTGTTGATCTATTTTTTTTGTTGTTGTTGTTGTTAAGTTGTATGAGTTCCCTGTAAATTTTGGAGATTAAACCCTTATGGGAGATAACATTGGCAAATATGTTCTCCCATGCAGTGGGATTTCTTGTTGTTTTGTTAATGGTTTCTTTTGCTGTGCAGAAGCTTTTTATTTTAATGTAGTCCCATTTGTTTCATTGTTCTAGGACCTGTATCAATAAAGATATTGCTACGACATATGTCTGATATTTTGCTGCCTATGGATTCTTCTAAGATTTTTATGGTTTCCCGTCTCACTCTTAAGTCCTTTATCCA